GAGAAAGTAAGGCGCCATAAAGTCAATGTTGATGGCAACGTATGCACTGTACTGGTCACAACTTTGGTTCTTGAGGTAAATTCTTTCTCAGTTCTGTATATTTTCTTCTGATATTTCTATTCATATATTATTTAAAGTTTGACAATCAGATTATAAATTGATACGGTAGATAGTAAAAATACTAAACATGGTGATTGGGATGTTTTACTTGTTTCTAAAGGAGATCTATTGTCAGTATCATAATAATTGCAGGAACAAGTTTACTTCTGAAATGGTTAGTAATTGGCATCGTCTTGATAATTGATTTTATTTATTTTCTACGTGTTTGTTGCTTGTTTGAATTTGCAGGGTTGGCAGAGGAAACTCGATCCAGGATACAATGTGATGAACACATTACAGACACTGCTACTTAAAGCTGACTGGGCAAAGGATCTCGCCTACACAATTGAGGGGCTGATGGCTCCCTGAGACTTTTTAAAGAAAAGTGGTTTGGAATACTTCCTTCAAGGGATGTCCAAAATATGGTTTGTTTCAATCATATGTTCTGATAAACAATTTTGATAGCCACTAGACCACAGGATACACTAGTCCTAAATAATAACATTAACATTTCATTTATTCTCTGAAATTTTGAGAAATTGTGAAGTTTCATTCACAATTCTGTAATTATGTTGTGATTGCATATGGACGTTATATTTCACAGGCAAAGACAATGAAAAAGATGGAACAAGAGAGGAAAGAAATAATTAGTTTGGAACTAATTTTCTTTTAATTTTTTCCAGAGATTTATGCTTGAAAAACCAATTATCATTGGCTGCTTAGTAGACCTGGCAAAATAGGACTCAATTCGAAAATCTGGCTTAACCCATTTGTTATGGGTAGAGTTTATGAGTCTTATATATTAATTCGAAATTTGAAATAATCCAAATTGAAATTATCTGAACCCAAATGGGTTCGGTCATGGGTGTGTCGGGTCATCTGAAATGATCTGAATTTTTTTATTCATTTTTATTATATTACTTAAAAATTAATGTTAAAATTTTAATTTCATAATCCTAAAATTAGAAATAAATAAAGTACTCAAACTTTAACCTTTCATCAATTTCACTTTCTTTCAACTTTTCCTCTTCTCCACCCTTGCTCTTTTCTTCTTCATCTCAAACTCTATAATCCTTCTCTTTGGTGGCATTTGTGTAAAAAATTAGATTAGATGGCACATAGTGAGTTATATCATATAATATCGTAAAAAAAAATCATTTTTTAAAAAATAAAAAGCAAGATGCCTACTGAAAATCAAAATCTAGTGGTTGAGGTACCTTCATAATCATTAAAAGTACAAAGGCAAGAATATCAAGAACAAAGTCTGTTCTTAGTTGTTAATTTGTTCTTAATTAATAATTTGTTCCTAATTAATAAAAATCAATTCCGATCTAATTTCTTCTTGTATCTGGTTAGACATATTTTAAATTTGCCTTTTAAACTTTAATATTGAATATGACTATATTTTTTGTATAATACCCTATTAAATATTAAATAGAACTATATTTTTTTTTATAATACTCTTATAAATATTCAATATGCACTAGATATTAATATATATTGGATTTGTCTTTTAAACTCAAATCCTTCATATCTTTTCTTTTAATGAAGGCTAATACATTTATGAAATTATGAAATTTAAATATTGTATAAGTATTATATATTTGACATATATTTTAATTCCACTTATATAATCACCAATCTTTTTCTTTTCTTTTCTTTAGATTGGAAAAAATTGAATTATGAAATGAAAATTAATGTTTAATAAAATTTTCTAACTAAATAGTTAATTAGTAATAAATTTTTTAACTAAATAATTAATTAATATTAGATTTTATTAAAGAAAAATAGAGAAAAATATAAAAAAATTTTAATTTTAATTTTTTAAAAGTTAATTCCACCAACGCAATCTGCAACCCATGTAGATATGTTATGGGTCAATCTCTTTAACCCGATATCTAAAATGACCTAATCTAAACAACTCAAATTTGAAATGACTTAATCCGAACTTACCTAATCTGACCTGTTTGCCAGGTCTACTGCTTACCTATACCCCGTGTTTGGTAAAGAAACAGTTGCTTGGCAAAAGCATTATTCGGAGAAACAGGAATCTAAATTGCAGAAAATGAGAAAATACAATGCTGGGTTAACATGGTATTCCAAAATCCTAGGTTGTATGCATCAACTGATGATCCATATTACAGACAACATTTACAATTACTTGCACGGTCAGAAAATGGTTGCAATTCCTGACTGCTATTGACAATGAATGGAAAGAATGCAGGCATATGAGTCCTGCAACTCCATGGGAGTATTTCTCTTTTGTGTTGCCACAAGTTGGTTCATGGCGTCTAGCAATCACCAGCACTGCTCCTGTATCATGGGAAATTGGTTATCAACTGAATATAGCTGCTTGCTAGCTAATCTCTTGTTTTCAAGTAAATAAAATTTACTCAGAGAACAAGGAACTAAACAGGGATGATTCACAGTGTTTTCCCTGAAAAAATGTGTCAGCTCAAGAGCTACACTGCAACAAGCCATGGTCTACATGGAATTGAAACTTACTGTGCAACTGTAAGCTCACGAATTTCTTTGATTGCGGTACTAATACCGTAGAGAGCCATCTTATTCACCTGTTTTAGCAGCAAAAGTGAAAACAATTTAAGATGTTCACCAGGTTTGCATTTAAAATATGCAAAATATAGGAAATTGTTAATGTGAATACAAAGTTACCTCAAACATATCAGATCTAGCTTTATGGTCTTCTGGAAGCAGACGAAGTTCTTCAACCAATTGGATACACTCATTAGTATTCTCCGGTGAAATAAAGTCCAGAACCACATTAACGCATGACTACATGTAATAGAAAGAGAATATTAGGAAGCAATGTTGTAATCAGAGATTCATATTTAACTGTAAAGATGAATTGTGATTAGTGAATATTTCATATACAATCAATCTACAAATATGCTTAAAAGTCTTAGCAGAAGGAGATAAAAAAAAAAAAAAAAAAAAAGGAGAGAGAACTAAATGCAAACCTTTGAGTTTCTGTATTAGAAATTACCTTAACATTCCAAATCTGGTATGGACAGCCTGCTGGAATAATAACAGCTTCTCCAACATGTTGCTCAAAAGACCAGGGCTCTATTCCTAGAAGCAATTTGGAGGTTTGCAAAATTTTAGTAAGGTTATTTGTTAATAGAACCAAGAAACAAGTTGATGTTAGAGAACTTGCCATACTCCTCTTTAAGCCTGGTTTTATGAATAGTATCGAGAAAGAACTTTTTATCAAGAATTGGATGAACCACCTGCAGCAGGGGACAGTTAAACTAGAAAAACGTCCATTCTGCTAGCAATATATCATGCTTATCTAAGAACTTACATGCTTACGGAAGCCATACAGCTGATTTAACTCATTGGAATGCTTTCTGATGTACTCCATAAGTTTTGGGACATCCTGTCTGCGGAAAACATCCCATTGAGCACTGCAAGACTTGGCCAAATTTTCCTTCCTAGAATAGTTGAGACTTTCTGTACTGCAGGGGAGTACCAGGGTTTCAGTGCTAGAATTACAATCAGAATCAGAGTCAGAACCATCTTCCATATCAGATGAAATATCTCTATTTTTGAAACCCAAATAATGTCCTCCATGATCTTCAGTAGCAAATTGGGATGACTTTGCAGTTATCTCATGGGCATGCATTTCTTTTCCAATTGTATCATGCAATCCTACTTCCTTGTTTTCTCCCTGTGATGATGATTTTTGTGTTGCATTATCAGCAACATTTTGATCAAGAGTAGATTTACTAGTCTGTTTCTGGTCTTGAGACTGTTTCTTTTTCATCAACTTTCTTATCCTATTAAGTTGCTTCATGGATACAGGGGAATCTGTAGCATATGCCAGAATGTTAACCTGGAGCCAAAAAAACAAAAAAAAACGTCACAAAAGTTTATGTTCCTGGTAAAATTCAAGATCAGGACAAAACCTTGACAATACCATCTTCCAATATGATGTGCTTTCAATTATATGTTGTTTTATTAGAATATCTGTGTCAAACGGGCATAATATACAATGTTCTTTTCATCATATTAGCATTGAAATTCAAATGGATACAAATATTGAGTGCTACCACAGAAAAGTTTAACATGGAAATAAACATACCACATCACGCAAATTGTAACATAGTTTTGTTACTGAATCAGAGTGTCCAAGTTCCTCGCCACTGTGATAAGAGATTGAGAGATATGGACCTAGGTCTTGCTTTGGGATTTCCTGTGGCAATTTTGCAGCAATATTTAAAAGACCACAGTTAGGATCCATGTAATCTGGGAGTGGTAAAGCATGGATAATTTCAGCATAGTGAGTTGGAAATTGTTCTTGAAATAGATGAGAAGAAAGTGAGCCCTTCAGTTTCAGCTTCTCATCACACGTATTAGTATGTTTCTGCCTTCTAAAAGACCCCAGAAACAGCTGCTTAATACCAATTTCTACCTGAAATATCGAATAGTCTTGTTAAAAACTACAGTTCAGATTCTAGATGGCAATGAGATGGGACACAAGGAATATAAAATACCCAACCCCCTTCCCTCTTCCCTAAAGAAAGGGAGACCAATAATTAGAAGGGAGAATAAATTTATTAAAAGAGAAAGAGAAGAGTTGCTTCAAGAGCAAAAAAATGATCTGAAGTGACTCAGTATGTCAATATAACTTCAAATTTTTTATAAGATGCAACAAGATTACACTTTCCACCAAGGGAAACAATGAATGCAACACCCAAAAGACCCTCATGACCTAATACCAAAACAATAAAATAGAATAGGCGCATGTGTCTGCATGACTACATCATTTAAAACAATAAAACCAATGCCAAACTAATTTGACTCAATAGTTGATGAGATTATTATCAAGAGCAGTCTTTAGCATAGTTGCCAAATCAATCACAATAAGCCACAGACCGAACATCAAAATCAGAGACATTGATGGAGTAAAACATCCAGATAACAAGGTAAATCAAGACAGATGATCATGTAAAGATTTAGAATAGAGGGTCCAAAACGCTATCTAGTTTCAATTTAGTTTCTTTCAGGGCCAAGGGATATGATCTATAAGAACTTTTGAGCATCAAGTTTTCTAAAATAGAGAACATGACCATAAGGCACACCAAACTGCTAGTGCTAGTGTTTCTCCGTTAGTCCTTCTGTTAATCATGTTTGTATTCCAGTGGACAACTGTGTCAGATACACTTGTAATGATGAAGATCATGGTTTTCTGAACCTCACAATATGCATGTCTGTGTGCAAGAGAGATTGGGCCCATTCTATTGTCCTACAATTTCATAAAAACGTGAACAAGCATTTCAACATAACAGTAGATGCTATTTAAACACTAACCTCAAACCAGTCCAAGCAACTGGTTGTCTTTGTTACTTCCTCATCATTCTTAGGTTTGGCAATAATGTTTTTAAGATATGAGCAAAACAAAAATCCTGGATCCCAGTTGAGGTCTGATGTATTCTGAAGAACATTTCGAACAATGACAGGATGGCCTTGACCCCAGTGTTTTTGGAAGTGCTCAAGGTTATCACGTCGAATGTCCAAAACAGTGGGATAATACAAGAAGTTATCATTTGAATCTTCTCTCCTAGCCACTTCCTGCAACTGCTTGATTCCATTGGCTCCATGATCCATCCCAATGCATACTGAGCAGCAAGAGAACGTTTCAGAGGCTTCTGGCAACTCATAGGTGCCAACTATTTCTTCTGCACTTATTTCTAGCTCTTTTGTCCACCTTAATGGGAAAAGACATCTTAGATCAAGAAGGCCATTGCCACAACCACCAACATTTGATGGTGGACAGAATATCTGAAAACCAACATCAGGAGCTTTCCAACTAGCCAAAAATGAAGAAGATCCAAAGTATTTACTGTATTTATTTTGCTTATAGGTGCTTGTGGATATTCTATCTGAAAGGCGGACTCCAGGCATACAAGCTTTCCTTCTATTTTGGCATTTGCAGAGAAGTGCTTTGACACTTCCAGCTAAGCTCCCTTGAAAAAATTCCCGACAACAACTTAAACAGAGATTATAGGAACACTTTGGACAGCTTCTGTGGAAATCAACTATGGAAGTCTTGCAGTTGTTGCTGCTCCGGAAACCAAAGAGACACAAAGAATAAATTTACATGTTATATTTATGATCTAATGCATCACAAATTTTAAGCAACAGAGATCATACCAACAACAACGGTTATAGCCACCAAATTCCACTATTTGGATATGAACATCAGAGGGATTTGTGCCTGTGACAAAAATTAAAGCATCATAGACCTCATCCTTGAGGTAATCAGATAATGAATATGTTAATACCACAGAATACTAAAAGAATGATTAAATAGAAATTTTTTGAGAAGAGACATTGTTAGTACCTTTTATTTTTGCCTCTATTTCAAGCTCAATGCTTTGTTCTTGGTTTATTTGTTTTAAAACAGGAAGAAGCATGCACGTTAAGTAATGAAGATTTAATACCCTGTATACTCTGTTCTTGTCTCTCAGGAAGTCCTGACACAGTTTATAAAAAAGTTGATGCAACAGAACTTAGCATGGGAAAAAGCAAGCAGCTAATAAATGAGGCATATTGGATCTCACCAGACCTTACATTCACTGGTGCTGCGTTGATTCACTGAGCAGGCCTTGCAGCCACAAGTTTCACGGCAAACTGGACATGCACTCTTAACCTCTTCTTGTGTTAAAGGATACCTATATTTAGTTTCACATCAGGAATTAACTTACACCTCTGTCTTAAAATGGACCATCTAGCATGTCTCAGTATTTAAAAATGACAGCTTACATCTAATATCTGAAATTCATTCCAAAACAAAGAAAAACAGAATGAATAATCACTTACCGTTCTTTCACGCAATCCAAGCAGAAGAACTGCTGACCACAATTTGAACACTCAATCAAACTCTGACCACTGCCCTTCCTACACCAATGACACCTCTTTCTCCTCCTCAAACTCACCAAATTCCTCTTATATGGCACAACCTTTAGAGGAAAAGATTGAATTAACAGTATGAACAGATAAAAACTAGTGCATAATACACACACGACATAATCCAGTTCAGCAGAGAGAACTATACAAAAGAAAGCACCTTCAATGAGCCAGTAGGCAATGGCTCGATATTCTTGGACCTGAATTGCCTCCTGGTGACTGCAGCTGTATCAGCTTCAGCTTCTGCTATCTTGACATTGACACAAAGACCTGAACTTGAACCAGAACCAGAACCCGAACAAGAACCTTCATTGTTGAAATTTGAGCTAGAGGAGATTGCCATTAGTCCATTAGGCAATTGTTTCATCAAATCTTCCTCAGAATCACTACCATTTCTCGCTTCAACGTCTATCTCTTTCTTCTTTCTCTTTTCTATTTCCCTCTTCAAAACCATTCTTATCAGGTCCAGCTGAGGATCCCCTTTCTTCAGCTTCATCTTCCTCACTGCCTCATCAAGAGCCTCAGATTCTCCGATCACTTGCTTCCGTTTCATGGGCATCCCTAATTTCACCAATTTGGGTATCCCCTCCACATTTTTAGCCCTAATTTTACGACCCTTCTCAAGAACCAAATTCTCACGGCCCAAAACCTTCTTTTTCCTTCTTTTCCTTCTCTGCAGCTTCAGCGAGTCCGGAACTCCCTCCTTCCGCTGTCGGCGGCGGGCTTGAATATGATGCACCTCACAAAGCTTTTTCCCCTCCATCACCAGCCGATTGCACCGCCAATCCTTCCCATCTGTCCGATTGCACCGCAGATGTTCCGGTAGAAGAACCTCCTCCTCCTCCATTCCGCCGTTTGCCTCTTTCCCAGAAAAGTTCTAACTTTCCCAGAAAAGCAATTCCCTTTTCGAGAAAACACAACTCCTTGAAGGCTGAGGAGGAAAAACCGAATTGAATCGGGGGTTTTTGGTTTGGGGTTTTTAGAGGTGTATTTATTGGGAATGGACAGTGAAGTGGCAGATATGGTAATTGTTGGGAAAAGATAAAGCGTCCAAGTTTGATTTCGAATCTTAGATCAAGAGACTAATACTCTATTGCGAGATAAGATTGAATGTTTAAAAAGTTCTGGCGAAACTATGCAAGAATTTTTCGAAGAATGCATTCGACCAACCTGGAAACCCTTGTCTCACCTACTTTGGTTTATGCAAAGATAATACTAATTTTTCTGATATAAGAGAATTTGGAAGGAACCCATTACATCAGAATTGCTGTTGTTTATCTGTGAAATTCAAGATGGAAACTTTGAATTATCATTTCGATTAGCAAATGTAATTCTGTCAACTGCAACATGTGTACATTGTATTATAGTATATGCTAAATTAATTCTGTTGTTGTTACTTGAATGTTTGTCCTGGTTTAATGTGCTTTGGAATTTGGACAGGAGAGCCCTAAGATGAAGGAATTGTCTTTAGGACTCTGCACAAATTGTGACATCTGAATGCTCACTTTTTCACATTTTCCTCTCATGGTTTGCTGTCATGAACTAAAGAGAGCAGAATCTGCAGCAGGATTGGAGGGCCCAGTTATCTCTGCTTTCAATGTTGAATTTGATTTTTTTTTTTTTCTTTTACACTAAAACTATTGGTCTTGAAGGCCTGGATAGTGCATGTGCTAATTTATGTGTGTTTTGTGAATGACCCTGAATGGAGATATTGAAATTGGGAAAAACAGAGGAGTCTGAAAATAGAAACTATCCAAATGAAAACATAGAGAAAGAGAAATACCTGTTACATTTGCCTCAAATCATTGTCCTAGAAGGAGAGAAACATAATTGAGTGCAACGCTGATGAGTGAAGGAGTTGGAATTCATCGATGCCTCCTCTCATTTTCCTACACCATAACCAAAAACCGAAAAGTTTCAAATGTAACTAGTGAAGGAGTTGGAGTTCATCAACGCTGCACTCAATGATGTTTCTTTCATCTAGCTGTAGGGTTACTTTATGCCGCTGCTGCATTGGATCCATATGCATGTTGTTATATAACTTGTTTGAATTTCTATTATAGATCATTTCAATAGATTGCAGTACACCAACTTGTATTCAATTTGTACTGCCATATTGCTTTGCAAAAGGTTGATGCATTGTACTGCTGTTCTCATCTAATGTCACCAGTCCACCACGATATTGATTTTTTTTTTTTATCAGCCACCAAGATATTGATTAAATTCAGGATTCAGCTAAATATTCAAGGGTTTTTTTTTTTTTTTTTTTTTTTTTTTTTTTTGTGTGTGTGTGTGTGTTTAGAAACTTGAATCTGTACTGGTTTCTTGTACTCGAATCTTGTACTGCATTAGCCTAACCCTCAACATCCAACTATCTTATTCTTTTGATCCAATCTACCAAAAATTTGACCCTTTTTTTATCTGCAATTTATATTAACAATTTCATATGGCCACGTAGGGACCACCGGTGGTAGGTCTAATGTCAGAACTTAGATGCATCATTTTCTAATAATAACTCACCTTTCCAATGAGAATTAGGTAGACTTTTATGTATAGTTGTCCTTGATTATGTACAAATAGAGAAAGATGCCTACATTAGGCATCTTACATAAAAAAATGAATTCAAAGAATGAATTAGTAGAAATGCACATGCACAAAGAGAAAAAATCTGATTATCTTCTACGAAGAATGATTTTACCCTCCGCATCTTCATTAACAATTTGCAGAACTTCATTTGGAGGAATGTGTCTCCAGAGTTTAGGCTTCTCCAACTGATGTCCAATTTGAGCCAGTTTATCTGCAGCCCTATTGCCTTCCCTGTATATATGAGTCACAATGCAGTTGTTAAGTTCTGGTATGATTAAGTTTATGTGATTAACATGCCTCTGTGCTTCTGCACATTTGACCTGCCTCTTTTCCACGATGATATCAACCAATGTCTTGGCATCCCCTTCAAGCCATAAATCGGTCCAACCATTTTCAAGTACTAACTCAAGGCCTCTTCGTAATGCAGCCAGTTCTGCAATCACACTTGTGGTTCTTCCAATGGATTCAGCATAACCAAGCAAAAATTCAGCCTTATGGTTCCTGAAGACACCGCCAATGCTGGCTTTTCTTAACTTACCTTTGCAGGATCCATCAAAGTTTAATTTAGTCCACCCAATTTCAGGTTTCTTCCATTCCACCGGAATAGCTTCTTTGTGCAAATTTCGATTTAACAATCTAACCGTGTTTTGTATAAGTCCTTGGCATCTAAGGATACTGGTAACTCCTAACATCATTTTGTTAGAATTTCTGTTGGAAACAATGTACTTCTTTGAAAAGAAGAAAAATATTAAAGGTATGCAATAAGTCCTTTGAAATTTAAAACATATTTAAATTTATTTTTTCATGGAGAAGAAACCAAATAATCTCCCTAGGTTGATGAATAGTTTTTATATATATTTGGAAGAAATGAAAGGAAAATCAATATTAATATAGAGAAGAAGAGAAGAATGTACAAGATCAATGGCTAAAAGGAATTTTGTACAAAAACATGGTTTAAAACATAACATATAATCAAAAACCGAAGATCGACATTAAACAAAATTACCATGATGAAGGTGCCAAATTATAACAGGAGAAACCTTGGAGGACAAAGAGAAAGAAGAACAAAACAGAGGCTTTCTGGTTAGAAATGTTGATTCATTGCTTGCTTCCATTCCATTTCTTTGGTGTATTCTATTAAATATGTTAATGTAGAGCCGTGGAGGTAAAGCAAGGAACATTCAGAATTTGATAGAAAGAAGGCAGTGTTTTGACATTTTCAGACAATGGAAATGGGCAGAGAGGTTTCTTCAAGAACTCTCAAACATGTTACGGTAATGGGGTTCCTAAGAAAAGGTTGACTGTATGAAGTCTAATGATTGAACAAGGAAGGGTTGCATGAGAATAAAGAAAAGAATTATTGAAATTCCTAAAAATTAACAGATTTTATCCAAGGATAGAAAAACAGAATCTTAATCATTTCTATGGTTCATCCAACAATTTAGAGGTAATTCGTGAATTTTGATGGCAATGCTGTCTTAAATGGATCATTCTCCTTATCTTCTCAAGAATGAAAGCTGAATTCTTTTCAAAACCAAGTAATTCACATTTATTATAATGAAATCTTATGTCATGATATAGTCATCTAACATGGACACGGTTATGATTATTAATAATGATGTTGTAATCACTAAAATTATATAATATTGTTTTTAAATGATTGATAATTATAATTATTAATTATTAATTAATAAAATAAATAATAATTATTAATTAATAAATTTGAATTCATTAACAAACTAATATTTTTAGATGCTATTTAAAAAAAAAAAAGAAACTAAAATTTTGGTTGCTTAACAACATTGATGATAACAATAACTACACCCATGATGGATGATGACAATAACCACACTCATCTCCGCTGATTGTAAGAAAACATTCCATCATGGCGATGCAGTTTCAAGAGGCAAGAGAAACCAAAGGCAGAATCCAAAATACTACCATGGCTACAAATTTCCCCTGATTCTTGTACCAGTTAAGCAAATTTATACTGACATCTGATTGGATCAAAATGGGTTAAAATATGTATTTAGCCCCCCATCTAATAAATTTGATATTTTTAGTCATTCACCTTATATAAAGTTTTTAATTCCTTTGGAAGATTTTAGCTTCTAAATTAATAAAATCTATTAACTTTCCATTAAAGGTGAGAACATAATATTTATAAGATTAGTTTTCAAAGATTAAAAATATAATAATTTAGTTCTAAAAATTTAAAAATTAAAAAAATTAATAAATTAAAAATAATTAATAAACGACTTTATCATATGTATGGAATATTATTACATATTTATAATCAAATCAAATAATTAATGCAATTTAAAGAAAGAAATTTGATTAAAATTAAAAAAATTTCTTCAATTGTATTTTTTTAATATCTTGGATTTTCTATCATAACTTAGTTAATTTTTTTTTAAATTGAGCTAATCGCTTGATTTGATTATAAATATATAATATTATTCTAATATATGTAAAAAACTCATCTATTAATTTTTTTAAATTTTAGACTTTTAAAACTAAATTATTATATTTTTAATTTTTGAAGAATAATAATGTAAATATTTTATTCTTTATCAACGAATTTAATTAGTTTCATAATATAAAATAAGGAGTTAAAAGTGTTAAACATAATAAAATAAAGGGCTAAACACATAATTTAGCCATCAAAAGGAAAGAAAACATTAATCAGCCATCCGATTCAACCAATGAAATAAGATGAAACTTTTTTTATGCATTTCCAGTTGCCAGCAGAAAACGAAACCAAATAAATTTTACACGGGCTTTCATAATCAATAACAAGAACTTTGATCTTCAAAAGGCGTTCTTTTTTCCTATGAGCCACAGCCAGTCCAGGGCAACCCCAGAAAATATGCCCCCTAGCAAAAACACCACTAGCAGATTGCCCAAAGCATTTTGCTCCGGTCCCTACAAAGGTAAATTTCCAAAATTTTTCAGGAGAGAGCTAACAGTAAGCTGCAATGAAGAACGGTGAAAATTGCACGACTGAACTGACCTTGTAACCTTTAGGTGCAACTGTCATGACACAGACGGTTAGGTGACCATTTGTTATTCCCAGGAAAGAAACAAGCAATATCATCCATCCCTGATCACCATATTTTGCAGTGAAGTAAAAGGCCGGGATCAGTAAGAAACGGGAAAGTATTGCAATCATAAGGCCCTTTCTGGACTCGATCTTCAGGCATTTTATTAAGGGAGTGTATCTTCCTACCAGATCCCACACATTGTAGGATGCTATTAGAACAAGAGGATACCTATAACATCACCAGTCACAAGAAATTCATCAGGAAATTCACTTCATTGAGTTAATTCTAATTTTTTTTTTCCCCATGAATGAGGACATACCATGAGCCTAGCTGGTGTTCACCAGTGTTTTCATATAGGAACCCAGGGAAAATTGATAGTGTCAAGACATATATCAGGTATAGATCAAGTGCATAATCTTTGATCTGAAACAACAACTCTTTGTTGCTCAATCTCTGCAGTTCACCCTGCGAAAAAAGCCAAGAGATGTTAGAAGGGGAAGGACATTGAAAATTCGTGAGTATGGAATATAATCAGGTTTTGGAGAAAAGTTGCAGGCTCACTTGGTTTTCTGATCCATGGATGCCAGCAGCTGCAAGGTCAGCTGTAACAGTTTTTGATCCTTCTGAAGCTGCCTTTGAGCGGTAGTACTTCACAATAGGCAGTTTAGGGAAGTAAAATGCATACAGCAACACACAGAGAAACTCAAAGAATGTAGAAATAGCTAGAAACAGCACTGCAGAAAGAAATTTTAAAGAAAGAAATAATCATCACCCAAAATTAAAGAATTCTGGAGCAACATGGAACAATCATTGAATTTCAAGTTTGTGCATTAATGAAAGAGAGGTTGCATACTTGTTCCATTGCGAAGACCATTTTTATGTTTCTCAAAGGCTGCTTTAGTGATTAACCTCAAAGCAGAGGTCACGGCCCCGGATGCAGCCAAACCAGCAAAGAAAGACTAGAAAATGGAATTAAATTGACAAATATTAACATCAAAGATTATACTGAAAAGAGAGCAGAAAACATAACAGCTTACATAGAAAATTAGAGAAATCTGAAATGGCCTACCTGCATGAATTCAGGCTGCATGAAAGACAGATCTCCCACCATTCCACCTTGAACATGAGCATCTGCAACTCCAAAAGCAGCAACAATTGCACATACACCTACAAAAGGTCCAACACCACCTTTTCCAGAAGTTGCTAAATCCAACTGCCAAAAAAATTGTTGAAAGCAGCAGTGAAAGAATTAGACTAAATGAAAATTATGAATTACATGGAAAATCAAGGACAGGTAAAAGTTCCGGTATTAGTACTTACAACAATAAGCAAGAAAGTGCTCAGAGTAAAAAGTATGTATCCAATTATGTTTCTGCGCCTTGTATTAATTTTTGACTCATTGTATGCCAGTAATGCCATTGTTCCAAGTGCAAATGGTTGATATACGAGTGTAAGTACTCTTGAAGGATGGTAGTTCTTCAAAAGAAAATAAAAATTCATTATATAAATGATCTTAAAACCATAGTACTGATATAGCATCAATTCTAAAATAGGGAAGACTTTTCCTACTTAAACAGAAAATCAAAGATCCAAAATACTAGGAAAAGAAATGACAAAGCAATCACTTTAAGCTTCAACATGAAACACATACCGGGAACAAACTGTAGTAGTAGTCTCCTATTGTCAGCATACTGTTCCATGAGATAAGAGATCCAAATCCCAAAATCCAACAAACAAAAATGGCATTGAATTGCCCCTGGTAATTGCAGAAGTTAAAGCAAATTCATATTGAGAGCTAATTAGATATTAAGTTTAACAATTCAACCCAAGAAACAAGATTCAAAAACAAAGAAAATACCCCAAGCCTTCCAGGCTCCACTTCTCCATTTGCAGTAGTCATATCTACTTCCTGTAAGATGATAAATCAAATTAAGATAAACACCACAGATTTTTCATTGTTTCTGTAATCCAAAAGGCTTCACAGGATCAGGGCTTCACTGTAACAGTGAGATACCTACTGAAAAACAGATCAGACATAACATGGCACCAAATAATGTTAAAAATGAAACTGCAGCATAAAAAAATACTAACACTAAGGCTTAAAAAAGATCTGAACACTTGTTATATCCTGACTTGAATCTGGGATTTTTGCAAGTAACAATCTTTCCTGAAGGATGATAATATCAAATGAGAAAATAATATAGGGAATGCATAACGCAGTGCAAAAAGGAACCTGATGTATGCAGAAAGGAAATATTGTCTATAATCAAGGGCAACAACAAATGGCAATTTATATATCAAGTATTAGCCCCAAAAAGAATGGTAAAAAGAAAAAACCTTATCAAGAATAGTGCGCTGTGCAGAAGGGAAAATTTGACCTTTTTTTTTTTTAATTTGTTAGGATGTGGGTTTGGACTGCAGAATATGAAAGCAAGGGAAAAGGAAGTCAACAATGAAATTTAAAAACAAAAAATGAAAAGGGTGTCGACCATGAAGCTCGAATTACAAATAAGTTAAGAAAAAATGAATCTTTTGAAAGTTCTCTCCCTGATTGAGGGGGGTATAGTATAGGGTAATGGTGCAAAGCAAAGAACGTAGAAGAAAAGGAAATTCGAATCAAAATGGAATTCTAATTAATACAAAGAATTTGACTTTCCATTTTAGTCAATATAATCTGTAACTAGAGATTCATTTCATCAATGGATTCCCACTGGATTCAACTCCATGCGGCTTAGCAACAGCTCTTAAAAATATCATAAAAAAAGGAGGAGAAGATCGTATTGAGGTTGAACATGGATATCAAGGGTACGATCAGGATGAAGCCTCCAAGAATTGCCCAACCCGTGGCGAGCGAACGGAACGGCTACTTTGTTTGCTATAATTTTCAACTCAGATACTTCCAAATTGTAACTCTCCGATAAAAAGGCATTCTCACTGTGCTGCAGACTAAATATAATTTATTAAAATATTTTTAATAATAACAAAATATTATAATTATAATATT